ACTCAAATGGTCACTCAACTATCCCAAATTATCTCCTAAAGTCACTTTTCTTTCGTTTGTAACAACAAAGTCATTGAACTATGCCTATAGCACTCAGAAGGTCACTCAACTAGATTTTTTCAAATTTTGGATTGCCAATTACCTATTTTACCCTCTAAATTATAAATATTTATCTTCTTTTTATTTTATTTTTAAACTTTTTAATATTATGAATTTTCCTTTTTTAATTTATATTATTGACTTACCTATAGAATAAATAAATTTTATTTATAAATTAAAAAAATAAAAAGTATTTAAGCATATATAATACTGGAATAACAAAATAATGAGCATAGTAAAAAAAATTAATTTGAATAATTTGCTCGTAATAATAATTTTAGTATTAACAACAAAAATTCAAAATTTGTTTTACACAATTCAGAATGAAAGAAAATAAAGGTTGTGAAATATATATTCCATGCGCGTAATACAAAAGCAATTATTTGAATAAAGGTATTTTTATAATATACATTATATATTCTTGAAAATTATGCTCAATTATTATTATTATTATTTTGGTAAATAGTGACTTTTTATTCATTACAAAAAAACAGCTTTACAAATCAGTTTAGATGCTGACCATCTATGTCTCTATCTTCTATTTACACTAAGTCTGATGCTCTATTTTGATGTCTCTACTATGTTGCTATTTACATCAGCTTAAACTCATCCTAACCTAGGGAAGGAAACAAACAGTTGCATTTTGAAACATTACAGCCTAAGAGTCTAATGGAAAATAGTCCAATTCTTGCAATGCTCCTTGCCAGCTCTTGATTGTCCTCCCTCTGGTATGTATGTGCATTACAATCTCTCTGCAGATGTTGTTCTTTTTGAGTACTCCTCCTTGAAATCTAATCACATTCCTTTCTCTCCAGATTGTGTAAATCAGCATACCAAACACACGTGTAACAATTGCCCAGTGAGCAGATTTCTTCTTTGCAGCCCTATTGATCCATTGGACCTCTCCTGCCAAGCCTGAATCGGACTG